TACTAATTGCAAAGTGATTCAGGAGATGGGGTGACTGCCCAACATAGAGTACTTATTCTTGATGTACGTTTTAATAGTACCAGGTAAAAGTACCATCAAGTGGTAAAACCCAGGGTTAGGTGGTGGCAGTTAAAGGGTGAGAAACGAGAGTTATTCAAAAGGACCCTTGCGGAGGAAGGGATTTGGGAGTCACAGGGAAATGCAAACATGATGTGGAAAGAGATAGCTACAAGGGTTTGTTTGGTAGGTAAAGAAATTTTGGGAGAATCCAAAGGTCCTAGTCAGAGAGATAAGGAGACTTGGTGGTGGGATAAGGTGTGCAAGAGAAAGTCAACCAGAAAAGAGATTGTTTTAAGGCCATACACTCGTGCAATAGTGTAGAAAACCAGGAAAAGTATCAGTTGGCTAAAAAAGAGACGAAGAAAGCAGTGAGCAAAGCACGTACTAAAGCTTATGAAGGGTTTTATCAGGAGTTAGGAACAAAGACGGAAGAAAGAAATATTTACAAAATTGTGAAGCAAAGAGAGAGGAAAAAGAGAGATTTGGACTAAGTAAAGTGTATAAAGGATGAATATGGTAAAGTGTTAGTTACTGATGGTGATATTAAGGACAGATGGGAGGCTTATTTTTACAAGTTGTTTAATGAGGGAAGCAATTATGCGACTCAGGACTTACAGGACTTGCTAATTAACGAAGATTATCATAATTTGGCTTTCTATCACAGGATCCGTATCGGAGAAGTTAAGGCAACTCTCAAGAAAATGGACAATGGAAAAGCCGTTGGGCCTGATGGTATCCCTATTGAAGTTTGGAAATGTCTGGGAGATGAAGGTGAGGTGTGGCTAACCAAGCTTTTTAATGAAATTTTACTCTCTAAGAATATGCCGGATGAGTGGAGGAGAAGCATTTTAGTTCCTCTTTACAAGAATAAAGGAGACATTCAAAACTGTACGAGCTATAGAGGGATAAAACTTATGAGTCATACAATGAAATTGTGGGAAAAAGTGATCGAATATAGGTTGAGATTGGAGACTTCTATTTCAGAAAACCAATTTGGATTTATGCCAGGGAGATCCACTTCGGAAGCAATCTATTTACTAAGAGGGTTAATGGAAAGATATAGAAGTAAAAGAAGGGATTTACATATGGTCTTTATTGACCTAGAAAAGGCTTACGATCGTGTGCCAAGAGAAGTAATGTGGAAGGCTTTGGAAAAAAAAAAGTGTACGGGTTTCTTATATTAAAGCCATACAAGATATGTATGAGGGGGTAACTACCAGTGTAAGGACGCCTGGAGGTGAGACAAAGGACTTCTCTATTCAGATTGGCCTACATTATGGATCCTTTTTGAGTCTGTATTTGTTCAACAAGGTTCTGGATGTTCTAACTGAACCTATTCAAGAAAGAATCCCTAAGTCCATGCTTTTCGCGGATGATATAGTTCTCATGGCGGAATCAAAAGAAGAGATTAACACTAGATTGGAGTTATGGAGAAGGACGTTGGAGTCGAAAGGTTTCCGCTTGAGCAGGAACAAAACAGAATATATGCATTGTGATTTTGGGGGTAGGCAAGGCAATGGGGATTTGGAGGTGAAGATGGGGGAGCAAATCATTCCTCTCAAGTATCAAAATTTAAATACCTAGGATGCATTATACAGGAGGATGGGGAAATTGATGGAGACGTTTCTCATAGAATACAAACTGGCTGGTTAAAGTGGAGGAAAGCTACCAGAGTTATTTGCGATAAGAAGGTACCTGAGAAACTTAACGGAAAATTTTATCGGACTGCTATAAGACCGGCTATGTTGTATGGTAGTGAATGTTGGGCAATAAAGGGAAAACAAGAGCATAAAGTTGGGGTAGCAGAAATGAGGATGTTGAGATGGATGTGTGGTCATACAAGAAAAGATAGGATTCGAAATGAAAATATCAGAGCAAGAGTCGGTGTGGCACCTATCCAAGAGAAAATGGTTGAAAATCACTTAAGATGGTTTGAACATGTGCAGAGAATACTATTGGAGGCTCCGGTGAGGAGGGTGGATTAGATAAGATAGAGTCCCATAAAAAGGAACAGAAGAAGACCAAGAAGAACGCTTAATGAGGTCATTGAACGAGATCTCCTAGTCAACAACATATCTAAGGACTGGGTTGTTGACAGAGCACGAAGGCGTCGTGTGATTCATGGAGCGACCCCATCTAATGGAATAAGACTTGTTGTATACATTTTTTTATTTTGATGAATTTTTGAAATCTAACTCACTTAAGCTTTTAATTAGAAAAATGAGCATTATAATTTGATGAGGATGAGGATGAGGATGAGGATGCTTAATCCCAATGACCCTGTCGATGAGTTTGAGGAAATCCTCTGTTTGCTTCAAAATCTGGGGAGGAAAAAAAAAAAGAAAAAAAGCAAAAGAATACCGCAAAGCGCACATGTTAAAGTCAAAGGCCAGGCTAGCTAATCCTCTTTGAGTTTAGGATCTGCAGATTTTCCTATCTTATCCCGGGTACCGCAACTTTGATAGATATTTAAAATGTTGCGTACATCTGAGAAATTGAGTTGATCTACTACTACTCCGGTCTTAAATATAAGATTTTTATACATATTTCTTTCTGTACATAATAGCTTATCTAACTTTTATTTTAATCTTAAATATAAGATTTTAATTTATTTTGTCTTTTGTATTTATCTACTTTTTTAAGATGGTCCTTATAATAATAATAATAGTTTTAGCTAATACATTTGATTAGCAATGATATTTTAGAAAAGACAATACTTATTTATTATAAATAACTAATTTAATTAGTTTTTTTAATCTGTTCAAATTAGTCTACTAGCTTTTATATTAAAAATCAGCAGTATTATATTGATAAAACTATATCTTTTGCCTTATGACTTTGTACGGTGTTTAGTTTTGGCTTCTTAGTTTTTAAAAATATCTTTTTAGTCTTCTAATTTTAACACTACTAATTTTAAGTGACTTTTTGCACTAGTCTTTTTTTTTGTGAGCAAAATGCACTAGTCATTGTTAATATAATTTTATATGTCAACTTTTTAAATCTTGCTTCCAACATTTTTTGTTAATAAATTAATTTAGTTATAGCCGGAAGATTCAGAAAACGCATTATAAAATTAAGGACTAAAATAAAATCGGGTGTGAAGTTAAAGAATCAGAAGTACATTTTAATCTAAAATATAAATAAAACTATAAAAAAATATTTTATCTCTGAACTAAAAAAAGTACAATAGCACGGCTGCTGAATATGACATATTTTTATATTTTGTGCTTTAAAAAAAAAACCATCTTTCCTTATTATACCAAATGCAAGTGACACTAAAGTTAAGACTCTCTTTGGCTTCCTCGTCCTCATTTTTTTCATGTTATGCCTTTCTTGTGCTGTGAAACATCAATTTACCTCGTTCGATTTTGCCTTTTGCAGAATCAAACGTGCATTAAATCATCCACTATTCTTCATACCTTTTGCTTTTTGTTTTTTTGCTCAAACAGTTCTTCTAATTGATTATGATTGGATGAGCGTCTATACAGATAATTTAAGAAAAATAATAAATAAATATAAAAAATAGAACTTATATTTAAGACAAAAATTAGCTCAAAAATTAGATCATATATTAAAGACCAGATGAGTATTAGTTTTGATAGTTTTTCTTTTTAATTTTTTGTTTCTAATTTTGTTCCCGTCCAAATTAACGGTGATTGCATCCAACAACAAGTTGGTAATCTCATTTTTATAGTTCTATAGTTCTATATTCACTACTATAAAATTTTTCTAGTAGTGATTTACTTAGGCTTTTTTCTCATGCGTGCGTTGCACATTGTCATTAAGTCATCTTGAGTATAGTTTGATGTAATGTTAATAAAATAGAATTTTAGGTATATATATATATATATATATATAAATGTATTGTTATCTAAACATATAAAAGGTATATTTTCCGGTAAAAAAATTAAGGCATATTTTAAAATTGGCGGTGATGTTGGAAGAAATTTTTTTTTTAATAACATGAATAATGGAAGAAGGTCTGCAAAAATGACGATAACATTGGCTTTGGTTTGAAAGGGGACAGTGAAGCTTGAGAGTAATGTTGAGCTGAATTTTTCAAGAAATTATTGGTGCATTTGTATGGATTAATGAAGTCAAGTAGTATATCCTCTTATTGAACTTGATACTCCTCTGGTTCTTAATATAAGATCTATTTAACTAATTTGATTAAATTAAAAAAGTTAGGTAAGTTAATTAATTATAAGAAATATGACATGTTTTTCCTAAAATATCATAATCATCTTTCCATCTTCTACTTGATTATGATTGAGAAAAATTCATAAGGATAATTTAGAAAAAATAATAAATATAAAAAATAGGTCTTATATTAAGGATTGGAGGAATACTATTTAAGACATTGTTGTCTAGTAAACATAGGCATCTTTTTTAATAAGGATTTAAATTTTAATTCTTCACAGTGCCAACGATTTGTCCCTCCCACTGGATCTAAACCTCATTAGTAGAATTAAAACACTTAATTGTATCATTAAAAGTACATCAAGTCAAAGCCTCAACGGAATTTTATTTTATTTTATTTTGAATGGAAAGGTTTATAAGTTTATTTATCTAAACAAATAAGTACAAAGGGGGTCCAAGATAACAAAAAGAACAAAGGTTTTAGCTCAGGAGGGCTAGTCTGACTGGTTCGATAAGGGGAAGGCAAAGCGCCGCGTACCCACCATGTCTTGGGCTCGAATCTTGGGAAGTCCCTGCCTAGGGGCGACTACGGATTAGTCTGTATTCTTTGGATGTGGGATACCGGAGGGAGAAATCTAAAAAAGAAAAAAACAAAGGTTTTAGTCAAGTCTTAAGGTTCTCTGACTGACTAAAACCCGCCTAGTATAATCGCTTAGACATAGAACTTTATTGACTAGACGGTGGCTTTGAACCACTTAATTGCAAAATACACAGGCAGACCAATGTTTTCAGCAGAGAAGGCCAAAAGTCTCAAAGGAACTTTATTATTAGATGAAAATTGAGAGACAAAAGCACAGGGCCGTTCATTTTGAAAGACCCACAAGCTCTTCGATAAGAGAATTCAAGTCAGAGTGAGAAGACCCACCTTCCTCCATAGCCTCCCTCGCCATCCTCGCAAGTTTCTTCGCTCTGTTTCTCATTTCCTCTGCTTCATCTCCTTCCGTGATCTCTTTCACTGCCTTCACAATCGCCTCCTTCTCTATATAATCCCCTACCAGAGGAACCCATTTCTTAACGCCCACTGCCACCCCAATCCTCAGCACTTCTGTGATTAACTTCTCATTGTAAAATTGTTCTGCAGACACAGGCCAGGTCACCATTGGTACTCCTGCGCTCACTCCTTCCAGTGTTGAATTCCACCCGCAGTGCGTCACGAACCCACCGGTGGATTCATGATCCAGAATCAACACTTGTGGGGCCCACCCTCTGATGATCAGCCCCTTCCCTTCCATTCTCTTCTCAAATCCTTCTGGGAGCCACCCTTGATCTTGATCTTGATCTCGATCTCTATCTCCTTCTTCTTCCTTGTCCTTCTTGCTTTCCCTCACTACCCAGATGAAGTTCTGTCCAGAAGCTTCCAGACCCATGGCTATTTCTCTGAGCTGATTTTCGGTGAAGTCTGATTTACTTCCGAAGCAGATGTAGAGAACTGAGTGGGGTTTCTTGGAGTCGAGCCACTTCAAGCAGTACTGTGCATCCATGGAAGCTTGCTTTCCTCTGTATGATTTTTCTTTGTTGTCTCTGTTGCAGAGAGAAAGAGGGCCTATATGCCATGCTTTTCTTCCAAGTGCTTTCTTATAATGGTCTGCATATATCCCCTCCAGTTCGTAGAAGCTATTCACCACCACTCCGAAGCTCTTCACCGCTGATTCCTTTGCGGCTTTAAACAATCTCGTGATGAAAGTAACTTCATCGGTGATGACGTAAGTAGGCAAAACCATCCTTGTCATTTGAATCTCGATTCCTGGCAGATGAGGGATCACAAATGGGTCTGAATCTGACGTGACATCCTTGTAAGGTTGGTGGCGGCTTATAGATTCACTCACACACAAGGGGAAAAACCCAGTCCCATGAAACACTATCCTCGGAATCCCAAATTTGGCTGCAGAATCAGTGGCCCACGGGAAGAGCGAACCGGCAACGAGGCAATCTGGGTGGTGTTCTTGCAAGAGCTGCTCAAGAGGCTCTTGAAGCATCGTCGTTGCTTTGAAGAAGATATGAAACAGTGATGGGGATGAGATAGCATCGGCATTTTCACAGCCTTCTGGCAAGCCAAGTTCTTGGCATGAGAATTTGATGGGTACGAGGTTGATGGGGAGGCCAAGAGCTACGGATTCTTGTATGGATCTGGAGGTGAGTGGAAGGTTGAAAGGGGTAGCGATAATGGTGGCTCTGATGCCTCTGCTAGCGAAAATCTTAGCCATATCAACAGTGGGTATCATGTGGCCCTGACCGAGAAAAGGGAAGAAGAATATGTGGAGTTGGTATTTCTGGTTTTGACCGGCCATCTTTTTGCTTCTGGGTTCACAGGTTTTAATTCTTTTCCAGACTGATAATGGTGGTGGGAAAATCTGAGGAGGACGATGACGGGGAAGAAAATATATAATCAGGCTGAAGGCAGATTAAAGAAGCGACCACTGTGTTGCAACTGCTTGTGTTTGACCAAATCAAGTGCCAAGTGGCAGTAGATTAGGTCGGATGGTTTAGATCGAGCCAATTAAAAATGGACAATGTTGAGAAAGTACGACCCATGCTTTTCAGTTTTGTTTGCCTTTGGTGAGGTTAAGAGCAGACAAGAATTGATGGACCCCGCAGCCAACATCATACGTTCATTGACTCTGTTGTTTTTAAATCGATTAATTAACTCTATTAAACAATGATCTTCTGGTCTAGTACGGAACTCTAATTCTTGACCAGGACACTAGTTTTGGCATGGAAATGTTTTGATTTTTCTGTTCAACGGTAAATTTAGTGTAATTAATGAAAAAAAATCTCTGTAAATTGCAAAAAAGAATATATTTAATGTAAAAAAAAAAATTCCAGATTACATCACTGGATCCCTGAAACAAGCCTTGAACATTACTGGATGAATTCTCCGTTTCCTTAACTTGTGAGCAACTTTGCTTTGCACTTGCACCATTGACTTAATCGTATGGATCTAATTGTGCCACGTGTCTCCCACGCCCTTCGGTGAAAGCGTCAGATTCACTGCCAAGGACAACTGCTTTGTGGGATTCAATATACAACCTTTTTTCATATATTTATCTTCAACTTTTAAGATCTTTTTAAAAACTAATTCCAACATTCACTACCCAAGCGAAATTATACATTACTTCCAATACTAGCTATAGCATCTTATTTGTAATTTATAATTCAGGTTATATGATTAAGATTAGAGATAGTATATATCTTATAAAGCATCTTGAAAACTAACAGTATTACACATTAAATGTCGTGTGTTTAAATTTTATTACTAATGTGAAGATTTTATTAGTAGACAGTTTATAATTATTTTTATAAGTATTTTTTGAGCTAGAGACATTTTTTGATTTTGATGAATTTTTGAAATCTAACTCACTTAAGCTTTTAATTAGAAAAATGAGTATTATAATTTGATGAGTTTGAGGATGCTTAATCTCAATGACCCTGTCGATGAGTTTGAGGAAATCCTCTTTTTGCTTCAAAATTTGGGTATTAAAAATCAGCAGTATTATATTGATAAAAGTATATCTTTTGCCTTATGACTTTGTACGGTGTTTTAGTTTGGCTTCTTAGTTTTTAAAAATATCTTTTTAGTCTTCTGATTTTAACACTACTAATTTTAAGTGACTTTTTGCACTAGTTTTTTTTTTTGAGCAAAATGCACTAGGCATTGTTAATATAATTTTATATGTCAACTTTTTAAATCTTGCTTCCAACATTTTTTGTTAATAAATTAACTTAGTTATAGCTGGAAGATTCAGAAAACGCATTATAAAATTAAGGACTAAAATAAAAGCCGGTGTGAAGTTAAAGAATCGGAAGTACATTTTAATCTAAAATATAAATAAAACTATAAAAAAATATTTTATCTCTGAACTAAAAAAACTACAATAGCACGGCTATTGAATATGACATATTTTTATATTTTGTGCTTTAAAATTCTCTTTGGCTTCCTCATCCTCATTTTTCTCATGTTATGCCTTTCTTGTGCTGTGAAACATCAATTTACCTCTTTCGATTTTGCCTTTTGCAGGATCAACGTGCATTAAATCATCCACTATTCTTCATACCTTTTGTTTTTTTTTTTTTGGCTCAAACATTTCTTCTTAATCGCTTAAAAATGATAAATAAAAATAATGATGATATTATTAAAGTATCAACTAGTTTTTTTTTTCTGTTTGAATTTTGTTCGACTATGTGCTCAAAGGGCTTAAGTGTGTGATCCGGTTATCATTAGTAATTTTCAGTTTTTTTGGATTTTCCCAAACAAATTTGTTCTTGATTATAAGGTAGGTCATTAACTTTTTATCACTAGTTTCTTTTTTTTAATTCGCATTAAATGTTGATGCATTTTATTTAATTTTTAAAAAATATATATCTAATAGTGATAAAATAAAAAACTTATTAAATTTTTAAACAGAATTAATGAGTTAAGAATTTTGAATTTTAAATTTTAGGTTAATACGATCCTTAATTCCTTCACCTCATTTTGGATTTGATTTTTTTAAAAAAAAAAATTAATGGTCGCACTTGCAGTCCCGCAGTCATTAACGGGCTCTCTGACTTCAAGTCCCATTGGAGAGCTGGTGAAGATCTGGACAATAACTTATCAAGGGGGGATTACTCAGATTCCCCGCTGCTGTTCTCTTTCCCTCTTTTCTCTCCCGCATCAAAGCCAACACAGCAATCGGAATTCCCAGATTCCAACATGAAGATCACTAAGAATAACACCAAACTCATTCTTCTTCATTCTTCAATTCACAAGTACACCTCCCCTCACACCAATCATCGCTTTTGCCTTCTCTTCTTCCTCACATTCCTCACTTTTTTACTCCTCACTCTCATCCTCCTCACCGCCATCACCACAACCACCACCGTTTCCTCCACCGCCACCGCCGTTCCAACCCTCCCTGCCTCTGTCGCCAATGCTCTTATTCACTACGCAGCCGCATCTTCCACCAATGTCACCACCAAAACTCGCCCAATGTCCACCGCCGAGCTCTCCGCCATCTCGGCCACTCTGCTTCGAATCCCTAATCCCAATTTCCTCGTCTTCGGTCTCAATCACGAGTCCCTCCTCTGGTTCGCTCTGAGCCAGCATGGCCGCACTGTGTTGGTCGACGAGAACGAATACCGGATCTCCGACTTCGAGAAATCCAACCCCGGAGTGGAAGCATACGACGTTCAGTTCACCACCGAGGTGCGCCATTACCCTAAGCTACTATTGCAGGCGAGAACGGAGTTCAAGAGCGATTGTAGGCCGGTTCAGAATCTCTTGTTCTCGGAATGCAAGCTGGGGATCAACGATTTGCCGAATCATTTATACGAAATCCCTTGGGATGTGATATTGGTGGACGGCCCACGCGGATACTCCCCGACGGCGCCAGGAAGGATGTCAGTGATTTTCACGGCGGCTGTGCTTGCTCGGAGCAAGAAAGCCGGCGATGGAAAGACGAACACTCATGTTTTCGTGCATGACTTGAACAGAGATGTGGAGAGGATTTTCAGCCACGAGTTTCTCTGCCTGGAGAATTTGGTGGAGACTGTGGACTCGCTGGGGCATTTCGTGGTGAGAAGTGAAAGAGAGAATGGAGCAGTTTCTGAATTTTGTGCAAGTCCCAGATCGGCATTGTCACTATCGTCATCATCGTAAGATGAAAGAAGAAGAAGATAAACAATGGAAGAATCAAGCATGGATCGGAGATCCAGGAACCTGCAAAATTTACTTTTTCTTTGCTCTTTACTTTCTGATGAAGGTAATAGAAAGAAGTGTAATTAAAAGTGTTAAGTTAGATCAAGGAAGGAAGAATCAAGTGGTAATGGAACTTTAGGTGTTTTTCCCAGCTACTCGGTTTTATTAGGTATAATATTCTGATTTCTGAGATGAGTGAGTCTGTTTCCTGGGAAAATTTGCGGAATATAATTAGGAGGGAGTGTGGGAACGCGTGAAGGAATTAAACCCACGCCCTAAATTTCATTCTCTGTGTTTCCTCTGACTTGCTGACAAAGTACTGCCAGTAAATAGGAGCCGTACTATTCAAATGTGAGTCTTACTGTTTTCCCTCTGTTTTCTTTTGTGGCCAAGAGTGACGGTTTTCGGGAAGGTAACATTTTACAGTTACCGTAGGAATGAAGTCAAACGTCAGATAATGTCTCTCCTTCCTGAAAAAGAAAAAAGGAAAGAAAAAAAAACCGCCCATGGTATGGAATCTAAAAGGTTAATGATAATAATCATAGTTTTAAATAATACTAGTGTAAATTATTATGTATTTTATGATCGTTTGATATTGATATTAATTAATATTAGTAATTCGAAATGAAGTTAATTTCTTAAAAATTTCAAAAGAGGACACACCAATAAAATGATAGAATGCAAATAATAATAAAAGGGGATGAATAAAAAAGAGAAAAAGGGAATAGTGGGTTTGGATCACAAAAGTTAAGATTCAATTGAAGGAATCTAAATTTGGGAGGAAAAAATATGATTGTCCTGAACAGAAGACCTCTACAAAACAAAAGGAAAGATTTGAGAGAAGAGAAAATAAAGAGACACCGACCTGGAACGGATGGGTCAAAAGAAGGAGGAGAGGGGAAAAGGTAAGAAGTTGAAATATGGTATGGATAGGAAGAGGGAAGCGTAAGTTACGGCGAAGAGAGGAGGGAAGGCGGCAAAATCTATGCCTCAATCTAAGCTCGTGCACAAAATCAATCAAATCTGCTTAAGATCAAAGCTTAGAACTTTGCGTGCATGTTTCTATCACAAATCTTCAACTCCATGATCCCATCCCACAATCTGCTCTCTTTTGGTCTCCAAATTTGGCATCAACCCAGACCTGGGAAATAAGGTAGGCCACTCATCTGAGAAGATGCATGAGCCCAATATGAGTTTGGTTCTGTCAGGTATGGTCTCCTAAATAACAGGAATGGTCGGATTGGGTTGTGGTGCCCACTTCACCGAATTCGCTCCCATCGCTCCCCCTTCATCGCATTCTTTGAAGCATGCAGCCCAACGCGAAAAGTACGACTTTGTTTATATAAGTAATCTATTAAATTGTTAAAAAAAAAAGTAATCTACTAAATTTATAAAAAGAAAATTTTAGATTTGTCATGTTTCTATCACAATCTTCAACTCCAGCATGATCCCACAATCTGCTCTCTTTGGTCCCAAATTTGGCATCACCCCAAGACCTCGGAAATAAGGTAGGCCACTAATCTGAGAAGATGCATGAGCCCAATATGAGTTTGGTTCTGTCAGGTATGGTCTCCTAAATAACAGGAATGGTCGGATTGGGTTGTGTGCCCACTTCACCGAATTCGCTCCCATCCCTCCCCCCTTCATCGCATTGTTTGAAGCATGCAGCCCAACGCGAAAAGTACGACTTTGTTTATATAAGTAATCTATTAAATTTATAAAAAAAATTTTTAGATTTGTCCTTCTTAAAGAAAGAGTACTAAAAAAATATAGAAAAATAACAAAAAAAAAGTTAATATAAATTTTGGTGGTTTAAATTTATTCTCGTTTTGGTTTTGTTCCTTCAAATTTCAAACTATAGTCTTTAATCTTAGGTTTTTTTTTTCATTTTAAATGTTAATCCTATAATCTAATAGAAACTTAGACTATCTTATCCCTTGAAAGACCAAAATTTATGGTTTGAAATTTGAGAAACTAAAATCAAAACAGAAGCAAATTTAAGAGACTAAAAATTATATCAACCCAAAAAAGAAGTTGAAAATTATTAAATCTTAAATCAGGTTTGTTAACAATACTTTATTTGGTACAACACTAAATTTGTAAATGGCACAAATTTTTATTGACATTTTTTATTTGGCATTTAGTATTTTTAACTTCTTTTTTTGTCATTTTCTCAAAAATATACTATACACTTTTTTTAATCTATTTTCTTTATCACATTAAGTAGAAGTCAAATTGGGAAAAAAAAAAAAACTTATATTTAGAAACATACTTAGGAACATGTTTCTTTTTCTTACAAGTTGCTTATATCAAAACGAGGGGTGATAGCTTTTTTTTTTTTTTTAATGATTAGTTATTTGATATTGTCACATGTTATAAATATAAGATCTAATTTATAATGTAAATTACATTACAAACTAGATAATCTAAAGCATAATACTAACAAATTTAGGTATTGTTATTCTATACGGAGGCTCCCTCACTTCCCCTCCAACAGAGGTACTATCACTCTGCCACTCATTATGGGTATTTGACCACGAAGCCCGGTTAAACCATGTGAATTGCCTTAAACCTTGTCAAAACATTATTTTCGGGCAAGACAAAAACTAATTCAAAACGAAATGTGTTTTGCTAACAAGTTATTCATTTTTTTCTTAAAAAACATATCAATCGTATTTGAAAGACGAAACTTGTCATTAAAGTTTTCCTGTTGTTCTTTAAGGGGAAAAATCATTTTTAGGTCCTGAAATTATGATCAATTTGAGTTAAAGTTCTTATAATTTTCTATTCGAGGAGTTAGTACTTGAAATTATGGATATCTTCAATCAAAGTCCTTACTTTTCTCAAATATCATTGCCACATCGGTGATACATCTTTTCTGGAGACCTTGATCAAAACTGATACATCTTTTCTGGAGACCTTGATCAAAACTGATACATCTTTTCCGGAGACCTGATCAAAACTGACCATAATTCTGCAGACTGATTTCTTAATAAAAAATTATAATAGCCTCGACCAAAGTTGATAGTAACTTTAACTTACAATAGCCCGTTTGGTTTGATTCAATAAAAATGCATTACATATAATCCTAATACAACGGACTAATTTAAACATTTAATTGGGTTTTTGTAATATTAAGGTAATTACATTTTGTAATCAGCGTTCTCTCATATGGATGTATGAGGATTAAATAGCTAAGACTCGTGAATGGAGATGCAGACCTATCGTAATGAAATGAAAAAAAAAAATTATTACCCTTATAAAATTTCAAATTAACCAGATTGCCCTTACTATAATAAGGCCCATGAACCCTATCAATCACTATCCATTGTATTTTTACTGCTACGATTGCCCCACTAACAAAAGTCGTCACTGCTTGATTGTCATTGTGCTAGAGAATCTGTGGCTAGGTAAGTTCTTTGAAGAGATTTGTGGACCTATGCCTATTGAGCATGAAATTTCTTCAAACCGTCTATTTGATATATTTTATGAATTTTGTCGCAGGTTACCCGTCAAATCAACTTCGATTCATTAACAAACCTTTTAAATTACTCTTGGTCTTTAATATAAGATCTAATTATTGAGTTAATTTTAATTCTAAATATAAGATTTATTTATCATATTTATCAATTTTTTTAAATTACTCTTATGGATACTCCTTTAACTATAATCAAATAGAAGAGGGAGGGAAGATATGAAGGAAGATGATTATAGTATTTTAGGAAAAACATGTTATATTTTTTATAATTAACTAATTTACTTAATTTTTTTTAATCTAATCAAATTAGTTAAATAGATCTTATATTAAGGATCGGAGAGGTAATATTTTTTGTTCAAATGAAAAAAGATTAACTCAGTTTTGTTTTTGTTCTCCGAATGGCAGTTCTACACACTTATTAAGATTTGATTGGGAACTCGTTTTGCAGAAGTATTTTTTTCAAGAAAATGGACTAATTTATTATATGAATTAGCAAATTTTTTATAAGTATGGAATGAACTTGAATAAGAACTCCCCAGCCTTCTCAAATGTTTTAAATTATACTAATTCATTGGTTGTTTTGATTGCTTTTTGTTTTTCCCCTGCTTTGTTTTTTTTCAGCTTGTTGATGTGGGGATGTAGTGGGTGCTATAACCTAATTATTTGGCACTTTTATTTTATATTTTATGATTTCTTGTAAGTTCAAATCTTATATGACTTTTAGTGCTCTCTCCTCATTTTTCATATGTAGGATAGCGATACGGGAAGCTATTAGTAACGAAAACAAGCATATCTGGACACTCAAAGAAGATAACCAATAAATTCTTGTGAAAAAAAAGAGAGAATATAACCGATCATCAAATTTAAGGAAATACGTTGAAATTCATATATCTGTCTAATATCAAATTCTAAAAAACTACTAAAGCAAACCCAACCGAATATCTAAATCCTTCAATTTTTTGAGAATAAAATTATATTTTGGCCTCCATTGTTACATTTACAGTTTCTTTTAATTTTACTTCTTAGTGCAAATTTTTTTAATATTTATTTATTCTCCTTTTGGCTACCAAAGGTGATAATATTTATTAAAATTTATTGTTATGATCGTTTTGGCCATCAAGTTTATTGCTATGATTAATTATATAATCAGATCACAAAATGAAAAATACATTAATGAAGCAAGATCATCGGCACAAAATTTTTTATAATGTTCTTGTTTCGCAAGAAAGTTTTAAAAACGTGCCCACTTTCTTGTATTAAAAAAACGAAAAAAAGCGCCACTTCGTTTTTGGCTTGAAAAAACGAGCCTTTAAAATGTAGTAGCTTTTTTTGCTCAAAAAAAAAAATGTAGTAGCTTTTAATGTGGCATCAACTCACAGTCACAATTTCATCTTTCGGCATCTCAAATTTCAATAATTTTCGGACCTTTCGACATTCCTTTTTTTCCTTTTGTCCCAAAAAAAAAAATCCTTTTTCTTGAATTTCATGAGAAAATTCAAATTTTGGCCGAAAAAAGGGGCAAATTCACGTCATTTAAAAAACAGAAAGAAAGAAAGGCCAAATTGACGACCGTTTTGAGTTGGACAATCCTGTGATGCTTCGGAGCACAACCTTGCGATGCATTTTTTGACCGTTGGACAAATTGCGATGCATTTCTTTTACCGTTGTACAACCCTCTCATCTTCCTCATTGCCCTTCTATTTAAATATTCTTCATCTCTCCTTTTCTCTTATTTTTCTTCCCCTTCTGATTTCTTCTCTTCTTTCTTCTTTATCATTTTCGTCTTGCTCTTCTTATCCAAGCATGACTTCGAGATTGCGGAGGCCCGAGGAAAGGAAGGAAACAGAGTCATGGAGCTTTTGAGGTTGAGGAGAGCTGGGATGCGATGCTGCTTGATGCTCAATGGAGATGAATCTGTATGGAGAAGTTTTCATTTGAAACACAGAAGTGTGATTTTAATTCATTTTATGAATTTTGTTAAACATTTTACATGACCCCCTCCCCAAAAAAATTGCTTTGTTACTGAAGCTGCTTTGGAGAAATTTGCATCAATTTTGGGCTAAAAACTCGAAAGGGAGTGTTAGAAGAAGGAATTGTTATTCTCAGAATTGGCAATGGAATGGCTGCTCGATTTCAGAAAGATCCTTGGCTGCCAACTCTTCCAGGTAAGCACCTATTTCCTACTGCCCTTTGAGGGTTTGAAAAATATGCTACGGACAATTTACGACACCAAAATTACTAGGGCAAGGAGAGAAGATAGATGGGTATGAGATTGCCAGAAAATTAGTCTTTGAGGAGGATCCCAGTAAACCAAAGTCATCATAAAAAGTTCCCTAGAATTATGGGAAGATATTTGGAAGGTTAGAGTTCCACGTAAAACGAAGTTAATGTTTTTTTGGAGACTGTTATTTAATACTGTTCCTTCTCTTAAATTTGGCAAAAAGGGATGCTGTATTGTGATGTCTCTGTTGTTGTAGAGTCTTCTTCGTGATTGGTCGAAATGTGCTTGGTCTGGTCTGGTCTGGTTGCTCTTTTATCTTTTCTTTGTTCCACTGAAAATATAAAAATTCCTGAGAGCCGGGTTTATATGTGTTTCATTAAACTCAAGCTAGACGATTGGCAAAAAGAGCTAGATGATGTTCTTACTGCAGAAAAGTGGAGGTTAAACAGTAGTCAATTTTTCTAGGATGTGAGAAAATCTTAAGTTTACTGTTAAAGTCTTTGGTTCTGCTTTATATATACGAAAGTATTTCGATTGAGTCTTCGTAGCCATTAAATCTAATAATTTTTTCCTACTTTGGGTCAGCAATTAGTGTTAAATGCTTAATCAAATCATGAACGCGGCTTTGCATGAAAATATCAGCGGGGTCATTGTATATTGGTAGAGTTGAGGAATACTGACACTCATGTGTTTATTATGTGAGACTTACTGTAGATTTTATATCTTATAGTGATGATGATGATTTATATCAAAGTGAACCTTTATTTTTTCCCCATGAAGCTTCATGCAGAGTAGCAGCTGTGTCTCACCAAATTATATGTCACAAAACTTTGACATTTATCAATTGATTTTTTGATGTTTCATTATATTTTAATTTATTTGAAAATTATAATATTTGTCTCATAGCAAATTTTTTGCTGTTGGATCACTGATGATAATAAAATGTATAATACTTTTCCGGTTGCTTAGCCAAGCTGGATTGGAGCAGGAACCAAATCAATCAACCTTGGGCTAAAATCTTGAAAGGAAGAGTGTTAATGTTATTCTCAGAATTGGTAATTGGCAATGGAACGGCTGCTTGTTTTCAGAAAAATCTTGGCTGCCATCTCTTCCAGGTAAGCACCTATTTTATTTTTGTCCTTTTGAAGGATTTTAAGAATATGGCCGGGTGAGTTTTGGAGGGGATGAAAGGGAGGTCAGGGCAGTTTATGACATTAAAATTGCTAGGTCAAGGAGTGAAGATAGATTATGGGTATGGACAGGGGATTGTACGTAGGGGTGTTTATATCTACTTTGCTAAGGATGGGTATGAGATTGCCAGAAAATTAAACTTTAAAGGAGAGTCACAGTAAAACCAGAAATATCATGTAAACTTCACCCAGAATTATGGAAATGGTATCTGGAAAGGTTAGAGTTCCGCATAAGGTTGAATTTTCCTTCGGAGACTGCTATTTAATGCTATTCCTATTCCTTCTTTTTTTTGTAGTGATGTCTGTTGTTGTGAAGTTTGTGAATCTTGGCCAGAAATATTCCTTCTTTGGGATTCGTCGAAATGTGCATGGTTTGGTAGCTGTTTATGTTTTCTTTGTTCCATTGAAAATGTAGAACTCTTGAGAGCTGGCTTTTTATATGTGTTTCATCAAACGAAACTTGGATGATTGGCAAAAAGGGCTGGTTGCTATGACTTTATAACAATTATGGAAAAAAGAGGCATGGTCATATTTTTAATTTTCAGCAATAGGCTGAACGTAATTCTCGGAAGAAAATGGGTTAGGTAACCTATGTTCTGTTCATCATATTTCTGCTAAGCAAAACCAGAGAATCACTTGGACAGCTCCTAAAGGAAATGAACTGAAGTCAACACTGACTTTGCTTTCTCAGCTTCAAAGGGTGTTGCTGCGATTAGCTTTGTTGTTCGAGATGCCAATGAATGATCGCTACTTTATGGTATGGCTTAGGGTAGGGTAGTTGTACTGATGATTCTATTCTCTGGTTGCTGAGGCCATGGCACTTAACAATGCTGTCTGGTATATGGAAGAAGTCATTTTTGAATCTGACAATAAAGCGTTTGATTAATTCGATGATGTCTCTTGTTTTGTTTGTATTGTCTGAACTCACTATATTGTTGATTAATACAAACGTGATGATTTTATTGGCAATAAAAAAAACATATCTTAATACAAATGATGCTGCATGCTGCTATATGTAAGGTGCTTCCTCGTTAAAAGGTTTTGAAGTGATGAACACTAATTATTCTTGGTAAAAGATTAATGAAACATATTGATTTACTGTTACTGAGGAGATTTGCAACACAAATTGCTCTCTGTTTTGATTTGCTTTCGAACCAGGTTTCTCTCCCATAGATTTTGCATTTATGATGATTATTTTGAGTGCTGGGTTGGATTCGAAACACGAAAATTAGAAGTTAAAAAGCTGTCAACTTTAAATTCAGATGGACTTGGAGAATGTAGATTTGTTGAAGAACACAAGTTGGCGACAGGCCCAGTGCCAAGGTCCCCAGAACAATCAGAAGAAGCAATGCGGAGTGAACTAGATCATATGGGGGACTATATACCATGCGGGTGAGTCTCTTCAAAACCTCTGAAACTTAATCTAGAGATTTACAGGTTTTACCATATCAAGATCTTATCAAACTTATCAAACGGCTCCCAGGCCTCACACAGACCACATTAAGATCTCAACCCGTAAAATTCCAGACTAAAATTTCTTCAGTCATTAAGAGATCATCTCACAGGATCATGGTAAGATTTTTTTTAAGCAGGATCCTCATATGAGATAAATGTAGAGTAGACTTGAATCTTTAAGCAGATAGAACAAGCTTTTAGAAAGAGAGAAAGTTTTAGAGAGATATTATGGAAAACATACTTTTATTCATGTGAAGTGAATAAAATCCTCGATATCTCCTTAGAATACCAGAGGCTTGCTTATATAAACTTTCTAACTCATTACAAGACAAACTCTTATTTATTTTATAAAGACAAAGAGATGTGACAAATATGCTAAAGTAAAAGCACTCAATAACAGTAAGCATGCTTGTATTAAAAATAGATTCCTAATGGTTAAGCCTTCTCTTTACTTTTAGATAGGCTCATGACTTGGTAATATTGGGGTCCTCATCAGAATCATTGCTTAGATTGTTGTCTTTTTCTGATCCATATGGGTCTTAGGAAAGTGATCCTCAAGCCACTGGGGTGGACTACTTTCCTAAGATCCATGTGGATCAGAAAAAAACAACAATCTCAGCAATAATTCTGATAAGGACCCCAACATGTCACAAGTCATAAACTTATCTTTAAATAAAAAGAAGGCTTATCCGTTAGGAATCTACTTTTAGTACAAGCGTGCTTACTCTTGTTGAGTGTTTTTACTTTAGTATCTTTATCACTTGTCTTTGCTTTTATAAAGTAAGTAGGAGTTTGTCTTATAATGAGTCAGAAAGTTTATATAAGCAAGCTTCTGGTGTTTTGAGGAAGTATAGAGAATTGTATTCACTTTATATGAATAAAAGTATGTTTTCTATGATATCTCTTTAAAACCTTTTCTTGCTCAAAGATTTAAGCATGCGAGAAACTTGCCTCATATGAGGATCATGTGTATCAGATGATGATCCTATAAGATGATGTCTGAATGCTTTTGGTTCTGGTTTGGTTTGAATCATCATGGCCATTTTAATTACGTTTTTCCTACTTTTGGGTCTGCAAGTAGCCGGCGTAAATTTACAAAGGGGGTTCAATTTGGGAACATTTGCCGAATACTATGATCTTGTGAGCTTGTTTTTCAGCTTGAATTAGTGTTAATCAGGTTATGAACTCTTGCATTAAATATCAGTGGGGCCAAACACTTTGGTATAGTTTGAGAAATAACTCACACACATGTTGATTATATGAGACTTACTGTAAATTTTATATTTTATAGAGATGGATAATGAATTGATGATGATTTATATCAATGTGCAATTTCTAATAACATGAAGCTACATGCAGAACAATTGCTGTGTAATATCATAATGATTTTGGCTTGAGTTATATTATATAAATATATCTTACGAATTTGGCTTGAGTTATATTATATATTTTACAAATTTGGCATCCTGGTTGGAATTTAGGTTATGTTTGATATGAAGCATTAAAGAGTGCTTAGTATAAGTAATTTCTTATTACATGAGATTAGATAATCCAATGTAAGTGGAATTGGAAAATACTACATCCCCCCATGATATTTCTCAATTTCACATATATGGATTTGTCTAATCTCAAATACTAAAACTCTTTTAACATATTTTTTCAATCTCAATCCTAATATCTTTACTTTTATTTTCAATACTTCATACTAAAGGAAACTTAGTTCCCATCAAATTACATATTGATATATGTTTGTTTGGGATTGAAACTTCCAGTGCAAGATAAGTTTGATGTCATGCATGAGATTTGGTTCCTAACAATACATAGCTTGTCACATTAGTATCTTTTTCCTAACTTCCCTCTTTTCTCTCAATCTTTTTTTTCCCCTAAATATTTTCTTATTAATATTACAATATATATTAGAAAACCAATTCACACATATTAAAAAAAGTAGTTTAAAGCAATTTGTATCATTAAAAATGTTAAAGAAATTACTACTTTCCAAGGTTATCTTACAATTAAAATCAATTTATCTTAAATACCTTTAATTTTAATTTTAAAATAATTTTTCTTTACAATAAAAACATTTGTGGAAAAGTGATACACACACTTATGATCATAGAAACCTTTTTTATGCCTTATATTAAGACTACATAACACTGCATAAACATCAATGATTTTTTACTCCATATTCATTAATTTATAGAGAGAGTATGATGTAGCCGTCACCGTTTTGTAAGGATTTTCGATTTTAATGATGTGGCGTGAACAAAAAGATGGCTATTGTGAGAATTATTGATCAAGAATTCAATTCACAGTTTGCAGTTACTTGATAAGGTGGTATGATCGACATAATTAGAGGTTAGTTAATTAATCAAGCCAATAAGGTTTACCTTATGATTTGATGGATTTAACTTACACAGGTGATTAGTGCACCCTCAACTAAGCTAGAGAAGGTATGGCTAGTGTTTTCTTTTTTACTTGATGGACTTGTTCAAAATCACCCCAATAACAAAATTTCCTTCAAAAATATTTTTTCACATGACAGGGACTTTTTAATAGCTTGAGCATAATTTAATTAAGGTATTCAAAATCACTCCTAAATTAGCTTAGTTTTGATTTTGTTCTCCAAATCACTCACTCCTAGCAGGTTTAGTTTTGACATATTTCTATGATTTGATATTTCTATTTATTAAGTTTGAATTAAGTATACATATAAAACATAACTATTTTAACAATAGGGTAAATCTAAACCATTAGATTTAAATACTAAATTACCATTAATAGATATGTGCAAAAACTCGGTGGTCTGATCTAATTCAGTCCAATCCAAATAAATTATATAATGAAATTAGACTAGACTGGACCAGACTGGTTATATCCTATTTAGGTCATTACTGAACTAGATTAGACCACAGACTACCAAACCCATCCAGCTCGACCAAAAATTATATGATTATGCAGCTCTAACTAAAAGGTTCATTGTTATGTAGAAAAAAAATTTATGAAAGGAGTTTTGTAATTAGGAGTGGTTTTGAGAACCAAATCAATTTTAGAAATTGAGTTCTTATCTTAAAAATCGCAGATGTGCTATGTGAATGCAAAACGAAGAAGAATGCGATTCTTCGTATACATGGGGCATGTGTGCTATTAGTGAACCTTGGGCATGTGCAAAATTCCATTTTTCTTGTTATCTTTTTGTTTTTCAAAAAATTTCTACTCTTATAATCTTGTGTTCTGGCCTTATATTTTCTCAGATCCTCCCTCATAAGTCATGATTTATCATTAATTTGTCAAGACTCTCATAAAATCTAAAAGGCTAAACTTAGTTGGTAAATGTATCTCATAACATTTAAGATAGTTAAAATCTTTTAAAGAAAGAAATAATTTATACATTTATATTTTAACGCTATTTATTATTTTCACTCGGGCTCTAAAAATCATGACAAGTATATCCTTGAAGTTTAATATATTTTGACCAAATTCTCTTGAATATAACATGGTATTTGAACAAAACAAAATAACATGGTAAATTTCATTTATTATTAAATAATTGCTTTCTAACGTTATTTAAATTCTAAGAATAAATATTGGGATGCTGCACTTATGGCTGTAACATTTTTCAAGTGACTTTGAGGAGTACCATTGAGAAAAGCCCTAGAGGCTTAGCTAGTTAGTTCACTTTGTATTGCTTCCTTTATTCCCCCCCCCCCCCAAAAAAAAGAGTTTGCGTTGCTTCCTCCTTATATTAACTCTTAATTTTTTTTTAATTTTAATGAAATATATTAGAAATGATTTATAAAGAGTGATAATAAGGAAATAAATTAAATGTCACAAAATTTCACCTTTTTAATGGTAGCACTTGGCACACCCGCACTCATTTCGTAACAACCTCTCTAACTCCCAACCATTAGGGGTGGTAATAACCTGTAGGTTGACCCGTGACGGGTTAGGGTTTAAGCGATGCAGGTTAAAAAAGTACTTGTCATGGTGGGTTGACAGGTTGGCTCGTCAACCCACCAACTATTTTTTTTTAATTTTTGAAATATTTTTTTATACAATATAAACAAATATAATAAAATTTTCGTCTTTCCTTCAAATATTTGATTAACAACACCAAATAAATAATATAGGTTTTTTTAATTTTTTAGATAAAATATAAAATATAATAATATACATATAATGATTAATAAAATTTTAAAAATAAAAAAATGCGGGTTAACCTACAGGTTGTGGGTTAGACGGTGTGGGTTAAAAAGTTTTGTTTACTAACGAGTTTGTTTTTAGCTAACCCCAACCTTTTATTTTTGGTAGGTTGAGAGGTTGGAGCTATCACTGGCTCTACTAGCCATGTTAGAGGAGGTAATGAAAATTTTGACTCAGATTCTTCACTCACTTTCTCTTTCCCTCCCTCTGGCATCAAAGCCAGCACAGATCACAAAGAATATGGAGAAGTATAATGAGGTTCCAAGCAAGGAAAACAATTAAAAAACAAGTTCCAGATGTTGTCATTCTCATTATAGGACTTGTCATTATAGGCTGTTGATGTTGTTATTGGGACATTTTGATAATTATTTCTCTTCTGTAAGATTTGATTGTAATTCCCCCCAAAGAATAACACTAAACTCATTCTTTGATTCACAAGTACACCTCCGTCGACACCAATCATCCCTTTAGCCTTCTCTTCTTCCTCACATTCCTCACTTTTTACTCCACACTCTCATCCTCCTTGCCACCGCCACAACCACAACCACCACTGTCTCGTCTGCCTCCACCCCTACTCTCTCCCTGCCACTGTCGTCAATGCTCTCATTCACCATGTAGTCGCATCTTCTGCCAATGTCACTGTCGAAACTCACCCAATGTCCATCACCGAGCTCTTTGCCATCATGGCCACTCTGCTTTGAATCCCTAATCCCAATTTCCTCGTCTTGAGTCCTCCTTTGGTTCGCTCTGAACGAACATGGCCACACTATTTTGGTCAATGAGAACGAATACCAGATCTCTGTGTTCAAGAAATCCAACCCTAAAGTGGAAGCCTACGACGTTTAGTTCACCACCAAGGTGCGTGGTTATCCTAAGCCACTATTGCAAGTGAGAAATGAGTTCAGAATCTCTTGTTCTCATAATGCAAGCTCGGGATCAACGATTTTCTGAAGCATCATTTATACGAAATCCATTGGGACGTGATATTGGTGGAGGGCCCACATGGTTACTCCCCAACGGCACCAGGAAGGATGTCATTTTCACGGTGACTGTTGTCACATCTCGAATTTTAGGCCTAGAAGTACCGAAATTAGCTTGAAACAAGCAGGCTACTAAACCCTTTTTGGCAGAGGTCTCAAAGATTCCCTGAAAAGACAGCAGGATTCTCAGAGACTAAATCGCAAAAGAAAAGTTTTCTGGGACTAAGAAAAGAGGAAGTTAGAGACTGAAAAGAAATCTCATGGCCTAGGAATGAGAAATAGAGATAAATGTAGGCCAATAGTTATGTTAGAGGCCTCAATAAGGTGGATTTTGAGGTTAAGCCAAACCAGAAGTAAAATTGTAATTTTATAAAGTTTTGGGCATGTAAGGGCAAAAATGGCAATTATGCCAGAAAATCCCAGAAAAATCTCAAAAAATGGGAAAGGGTAGGTTAAGACCCGAACATTTCAGAAAGTTTCAGAAAAATAGGAATAAGGTTTAAAGACCTGTATGAGGTTAAAAATGATGAAAATACTCATAGAAGGAAATTGTAGAATTCCTAGGGTTTTGACTGATTTTGAATATTTTCAAAAATGAATTATTTAAAGTATAGGGAGGCCTCAGATAATTGGAAGAAAATGGAGAAAAATACTTGAGGAATTATCACAAGTTTTAAAAATAATTTCGTCCCCAGAAAGCGAAGAGGTTGGCTTTAATGGAATTTAAAGCAGTACTATTTTGGGAAAGTCAAAGTCAAATGTCTAGAGATTGACTTTTGACTTAAGAAAAATTACAGAAATTCCCTGTGATAAATAAATAGTATTGGTACCCAGAGATAGATTCTCAGAGTTGTGGACTGATAGAAAGAATTTAATTAAGATTACTCCGAAATAAATATTATTAATTATTTTAATTATTTTAATGGAAGAATAAGGGAAGAGCATCACTACCTCTTTGGGCATGTTATATAATGTCATGTGGATTTATTTGAGGTGAGAAAATGATGCCATAACATGTCCCAGTGGTCCTGAGAAAGTCAGAACCTTAAAAAGTACCATATACGGTGCAGAATGACAAGATGGGCGGAGGAATGCCTAAGAGTTGTATTTTGCACGAATTTTATATTAATTTCCTTCCTATTTTAATGTCAAAATGATGAAGGAATATGGAGGAGACAAGTGTACGATTAGATGAGAAAAAAAGGTATGACGTGTACGGCTAGATGCAAGACACGTGTACGGTCATATGTAGGACATGTGTACAGTCAGATTAAAAGCATGTGAATTGATGATGTAAGTATGATGTCATCATAATAAGGTAAGCATGATGTCATAGGACACTTGTCATCATAAGATTAAAAGAGAAAATGGACGATCCAAATCAAACCATACATTTTTAGATCAACGGCCTAAATTTAGTCTTATTTTCTATAAATATCCCCTCCCCACCCCTCATTTTCGTGCAAGCTCATGGAACCATGGGAAAACTCTTGCAAAATGGATTCTAGAGAGAGAAAGTAGAAGGAGGGAGAAAGGCCAAGTGACCCCATGCAAGATCAAGCTCTGAAACAAGGTATGTTGCTGGTTTCTGATCTGGTTTTCATTACCCTTGTTATTATTGAGCTTGGTTATGGATTTTAATAATTTTTGGGAGTTTAAAACTCTAGAGGGACATACTGCACGAAATCTATAAGTTAAAAGAAAGATGAAATTGATGGTAGGATAATGTTTATTGTTTAAAGGCTTGAGAGGAACAAGAATCAAGTGGTTTTACGTTGAAATTGGTTGAATTTCTTGATTATGCAACTTGAGTAATATTTCACTCAAGGCTGGTTCTTGGGGATAGGATTGGATTTTGATAATTTGGATGCTTCCAATGTGTTTAAAATGAAAAATTGTGCTGAGTAAAGTTGAGAAAACAAGTTTGAAAGCATTAGAATTGAAAGTAGAATGTTAAGCCCTAAGACCCTATGTTCGGCCAGATCAAGTGGAGTAGGGAAGAGTTTGATTTTGCTTATTTTGAGCTTGAAAATGGATTGTACAAGAAAAATTGTGTGGCAATAGTATGTGAAATTAATTTTGAGAAAGTTGGAAATCAAGCACAAAAGTTAGAAGCTAATATAGCTCAAAGAAAACAAAGTATTGATGTTGTTGATTACCATGGCTCTAATGAATGAATGGAAATGATGTGTTAGTACATTTAGGGCCGTGAGACATCAAGAAAAAGGAATGACAAAGGTTGAGGAAGCAACCTTAATGGTTGGAAGCAAAAGGGAACAAGTTGAAGAGCAAGAGAAAACTTATGATACAAGGTAGCGAAGGTACCTTTCTTGTGTGCTTAATGTGTATGTGTGTATATGCTATGAATGCCATGACGTGACTAAGCTATGCTGTTGAATTATGATTGCTAGATTTAGATAAACATGTCTTGGCATTATGTTATGTGAATATGAATGAACTGGCTTACTTTCCATGGCATTTCACCATGCATAAATGATAAAGTTGTGCACAAAAGCATGTCATACACTTGCATCCATCTTGCATGCATAAATGGTAATATTTGCTATTGAGATTCTTCCGAATCTCACCATTCCTTAACTAACCATACTAGGTGCAAGAGGATGAGAGAAGAAATCAAGAAGTGGAGCAAGAAAGAGAAGAAAAGAATTTAAAAAATGCTTTATATTATGTTATACACTGTATATACCAATGTATGTTGTAAATGTGTCATTGATGGTATGTGATGATAAATAATAATGTTGGCTTGTGTAATTAGCTATGATAATGTATGGGAATGGTTAGTGTATAAATGGAATGGTATTATGTATGGGAAGTCTTAATCATGAACTGTTAGTACAAATTAGGGGATAAGCTATCCCTAATTGAACAGCAAAATAGTGACAAAGTAGAAGTATGGTAAATAACTGACTCTGCTCATGAAATTTAGCATGATTAAAGTACACATCCTGAGCTTTAAAATAAGTGGTAGATCACTTAAAACGGATGTGTGTGCTTAGAGTTATGATTGCTCAAAATTGGACTGAAAATCTAGAATTTAACCAGTAAACAGTAACCTGAGAACCAATCACAAAGTTTAATCTATGGGCTTGTTTTGTGAATCGTTTGAACCATAACACTTCTAAACACGTACTTTGAGAGGTCAAAGGTAGGATGTTTCAGCTATGCTTGCTGGAGCAAGAAAGCTGGCGATGGAAAGATGAAAACTCATGTTTTCGTGCATGACTTGAACAGGGATGTGGAGACGATTTTCAGCGGCGAGTTTCTTTGCTAGGAGAATTTGGTGGAGAATGCGGACTCATTGGGGCATTTCGTGGTTAGAAGTGAAAGAGAGAATGAAGCAGTTTCTAAATTTTGTCCTATCGTCGTCATCGTAAGATGAAAGAAGAAGATGAACAATGAAAGAATCAAGTATGGATCGGAGATCTAGGAGCCTGCAAAATTTACTATTTCTTTGCTCTTTACTTTCTGATGAAGGTAATAGAAAGAAGTGTAATTAAAAGTGTTGAGTTAGATAATCAAGTAATGGAACTTTAAGTATTTTTAAGTGGTTTTATTAGGTATAATATTCTGATTTCTGAGATGAGTGAGTTTGCTTCCTGAGAAAATTTGGGGAATATAATTAGGAGGGAGTGTGGGTATAGCTTTGTTTGCGTGTGTGGGTATAACTTCGTTTGCGTGCTTCTTTCACAATCTTCAACTTGAGCATGATCCCACAATCTGCTGCGCTCTGGTCTCCAAATTTCCAATCACCCCAAGCACCTAAGAAATAAGGTAGGCCACTAATATGACTAGTTGGATTGGTTTGTGTGCCCACTTCACCGTGTTCGCTCCCATTGTTCAAAGTATATCGATCTTTAATGCAAAATAAGCATTTGTATCGTTTTTTATTTCCGGCTGGAGACTAATTTAGGTATTTTCATCCCATATATGGGCTCACTTCCGCCACGTATAAGATGTACTCCTTTGATTCTATTTATAAGACAGAGAAAGAAAATTTTTTTGTTCTATTTATAAGTTACTTTATTAAATTTTCAACATGAATATATTATCTTGTTTTTCATTTATTACAGTGTAGTTAGTTATTTCTTTTGAAAGGTGTATATATTAAATATAGGTAAAGTTAAAAAATTGTTATATTTTAATAGAGAGTTAATATTTTTTAAGGTTTTTTTTGTCTGCATGAAATATGCTAGAAGTACTTTATAAATAAGATCAGAAGAATCATGTTTAAGATCACCATGCCCAGTCATTAACAAAGTGAATTGCCTTAACCCTTGTGAGAACAATAATTTTCGGGAAAATAAAAACTAATTAAAATGAAAATAGTCGGGCGTTAGGCCTGCCGTCCAAATTCAAAACAAAAAAGGAACATAGTAAATATGTGTCTTGCTAAAAGCATTATTCATCTTTATTCTAAAAAAATAAAAGCATAATCATATTTAAAAACAAAAGTTGTCACATTTTGTAGTTTTCCTTATTGCTTCTCTGAGAGAGAGAAAATAGTTTTTAGCTCCTAAAATTATGGTCTATTTAAGTTAAAACTCCCTCCAATTTTTTATTTATATATACCTTCATTTTAGTTTTGTTCCTTCAAGTTTCAAATAATAGGTTTTAGTCTTTCAAAGGGTAAAATGGTCTAAACTTTTATTGGATTATAAGGGTTAATGTTATAAATGAAAAAAAATTGAGAGACTAAAACCTATGATTTGAAACTTGATGGATCAAAATCAAAATAAAGATAAATTTAATGATCAAAATTTGCATTAACCCCCCCTCTCTATATATATATGTTGAGTGCAATGCGCACGCACAGATACATGGAAATCAATTTGTACTTGGTCTACTTCATCAAGGCCCCGCAAGTAAATGGCATGATCAAAGCTCCACAATGTCCTTGCAATCTTAAATCCAACAAAATTGGTTTAATAACGGAAGGATGACGCAAATGAAACATAGGATACGATAAGTAATTTTATTGGGAGAGAGACTAACAATAATAAGGTGCCCGAAGCTTTCTTTATAAAAAGTCAACAAAAAAAGAGCACCCACATGGGCATCAGGAATATGTGATGAGCTTCTAACTCCAACAACCTTTGCACATTCCACAACCGGCCACTAATACACATTCATTCCCAATTAATATGGTTGCTATCTTAGTTCATATTGCTCTTTACACCTCACTTAACTAAGTGCTGTTTTCTCCTCAAAATTTCAAACGTGGGACACTATTTGGATTTTTCTTCTACCTCCCCACGCTAAACTGCCTCCCGCAAAAGAGTTCCTTCTTTATAAGACCCCATTTGACTTTTTATTTGGTCCTAATTATAAGACCCCAATCCATTTTGTCTCTTATATTTATGCATTTTTTTCCAAGATAATCCTTCTAATAATGATAGTTTTAGCCAATATACTTAATTAGTAAGGATATTTTAGGAATGACAACACTTATTTATTATAAATAACCAATTTAACTTACTTCCTTAATCTCCTCAAATAAGTCAATTGGGTCTTATAATTAGAACCGGAGGAGTACTTTTTTAAAGGTCAAAGCTTAGACATGAAAGCATAAACCTACGATTATATCGTATGGCTACACGACTACTCCATAAAATTTATTTATTTTCTCATTTATAAAGTTTAGCCTCGTTCGAGTAGGAAAAGAAGGAGCAGCATATGTAGAAACAATATGCAATATATAAGACTTAAATCATTCATTCAACCCAAGTAATTCAAATCATTTCTGTTATATATATTTATATATTACCTCCAGTCCTTGACATAAGAGCTCGTTTGACTTTTATTTTGATTCTAAATATAAGATCATAGTCTATTTTGTCTCTCATATTTATTTATTTTTTTCTCAAGGCAGTCCTTGTAATAACGATAATTTTAGCTAATATACTTAATTAGTAAGAATATTTTTTAAAAAAGAACATTTATTTATTACAAATAACAAACATAACTAATTTTTTTTAATCTACTCAAATTAGTCAATTAGCTCTTATACTAAAAAACGGATGTAATATAAAATAAAAGAAATGTAAACCTGAAAATAGTATCAACCACGCATCTACAAGGTCAAACTAGTTTTTTCAACAATAATAATAGAAAAGATTGTGCACAACATGGCTTATTTAAATGTTTATTTATCATTTACTCAATCCCTCAGACCATCAATAACAATTATACATCTTTATTTCTCATGCATAGAATTTGAAAAATTACATATAAAGTAAAACAACAAGTGGGAAGTAGATGAAATGTCGTAATGGTGCTAACCAACAAAAATTTATTACTCATTTGATTTTTTTTTTTTTGTAACATACTTATTTGAATTTTGAACCACACATATAAAGCATATATAATCTTTTTAAGTAATTTCTCCTATATCCTTTTTGGGTTCATGACTAAATATTCTTCAACTTTTTCAATCTTGCTGCAATTACATTTGTGTTATCCTGTTTACATTTCTCGCTCTGGAAAGAGCGGAGTAGGACAGTAAATGTCTGTTAGGGGTACGGCCATCCCTTGTATGCCTCCATGGAGGAACCTTACAAGGCATGAAATTAAACGACGCCAGATTGAAACAAGCCCTCGGGTGCATGTAGAATCGAAAGCACTCTTTTGTGGGTCTCTGATCGGCAACCCCATATCCGTAAATGCAGTTCTTCCTCACGTCAAGTACTCCTCTTTTTATCAGCTTTCTGCACAATGGTCCTACTCCTGTGAAGTAATTGTCCGATAAGGACAGGTTCGCCAGATTCCCCAACGCACACACCGCTTCCGGTATTTGTCCGTAGAGCAAGTTTCCGGCCAGGTTCAGTTGCTCCACCGCCTCCAAACACCCCAGCGAGCACGGCAACGGCCCCGTCAAGTGGTTGTTTCCGGCATCCAGGAGTCTCAGCTTTGTTAAAAACCCTATTTCGTAAGGAAGACAACCTGCACTTTGTCATGAGGGTTATTTGAGCGTGTATTCCATATTAGTGAAAAGATTTAATCTGATGACCTTTTTAAACGAAGACAGTAAATATATATATATATATATATATATATCTGTACCTGTTAACTGGTTGTTGAGGAATAAGATCTCCAACAATGTTTCCGAGGCTCTTCCGATGCTCCGGGGAATGGGTCCGGTGAATTTGTTATTAGCTAAAGTGAGATACAGCACCGACGTGTCTCCCAAGTTACCGGGAAGCCTCTGCACGAAATTGTTGTCGTTGACGAAAAACACGTCCAACCGCTGCATGAAAATCTCCGGCGGAACCTCGCCGGAGAAGAAATTGAATCGAATATCCAAGAAAGACAGGTCGGGTAAGTCCAGAACCGCCACAGGAAACGTCCCAGCAAGCAAGTTATTACTCACATCAAGCTCATACAGAAACTTCAACTTGGATATTGTGGGCGGTATGGTCCCTGAGAAGTTGTTGGAGTTGGCATGGAACAGAGCCAAGTCCGGCAGCTTATCGATGAAACCCTCAAGGCTCGGGGCCGCCAGCTGGAAGCCATTGAAGTCGATGGAGGCGACGGTGAAGGCGGTGAGGTTGTCAGGAGGGTGGCCGCAGTAGAAACCTGTGTAGTTGCAAACGTTGGGACCAACCCAGGTTTCGGTCACACCAAGTGGATCCGAGGTTATTGTGTTCTTGAAGGTTTGGATGATTGGGAAGACGAAGGCGATTCTTTCGTCTATGAATTTTAAGATTTCAGGGACTAATGGAGATTCATCGATTATTTCAGGGTTTACCGTCAGGAAACATAACATAATAGTTGCGAAGAAGAAGATGATCATAGTGTAAGAAGGCATGTGTCTTTCCATTTTTTGTTTTTGAGGATGACGAATTGAGCATTCTTATTGAAGATTCTATATATACTGATGAAGGATATATATGTTTATTTTCTGTAATTGCTCGATTAAGAAACATAGAGAATCTTTAATTACAATGATTAGATCCTCGCCTATCAACTGGGCACAGTATTAATCAATTAACTCATCACCCAAATTCAGAATCGTGGTTTGAAATTGCCCATACTCGTGTGCGTATAAAACAAATCATATTAGACTCGCGTCGCATATATAATACATTACCTTTGGTCCTTAATATACTAATTTAAGTAGATTAAGGAAATCAATTAAGATAGTTATTTGTAATAAATAGGTGTTGTATTTCCTAAAGCATCATTGCTAATCAAGTGTATTATTTAGAATTATCATTATTATAATGACTACCTTGAAAAAAATAGATAAATACAAGAGACAAAGTAGATTAGGATCTTATATTTAATATTAACGCAAAATTCAAACAATATCTTATATTAAAGACTGGAAGTAGTACCAATTATGTATTAAATTGCCAACCTGTTAGGTTCGGAAAGTGAATTTAGACCGACAATTTGGAATATAAAGGGAAAAGGCAAAAAGAAAGGCAAAAAGTGAGAGCTTCGTAGTGTTTAATGTTAGTGTATAGTGTATAAATATCATGTTACTTGTTAGATATATTTACAAGTTTGTGTAGCAAGTGAGGAAAAACACTGTAAAAGAGTAAAGTGGAGTGAATAATGATGAATTATGTTAGTTAATTATTATTTGGATGAAAGCAAAAGGAAATAGAGAAGTGCGCATGCATAGATGCACCTAAGTTCGAGTGGAAGATATGAATGATCTTTTGAACCCATGAACCCCCACTCATCTAACCACTTTCAATTAACAATGTGAACTTGTTCAATTAAAAAGACAATCAAAAAACGGAAGCCACAAAAAAAAAAATTTGACGAGAGACAGCTAAACTCAAACGAAGATGACATTCAGGGCGCATGAACTAAATTAAATAATGGTGTTCAAATACTTCAATGAGTAAAATAATTGTGAAATACTAGAGTTATTATTGACCCCCCCCAATTATTGCTTAATCTTCTTAATATTACAAGAGTACTTTTGAAATACTCCTCTGGTCTTTTGACGTAAGATCTAGTTAACTAATTTAAATAGATTATGACTAAGTAAAAATTTAATAAGAAGCAACACATAACAAATGCAAGTTTGCAAATGAGGAACAGGTGGGAAGAACAATTGAGGATGAAATCAACCTTGGGGTAGATGACTCAGCTCAGTGTACAAGATGGACGAACGAGCGTGGTGGTGCCGTTAAAGATGGACCTGATAGTTATATATAACTAGTTTTAGCTGCAAACTTACTAGCTAGAGTACGACCTATAGTATTGCAGAGTTTAACTTGTGTCACCCAAGGAATAAACATTTGCTGGAATATACTACTTCTTGTCCTTAATATAAGACCCTGTTCAATTTTTATTTTAGTTTTAAATATAAGACCTCAATCCATTTTGTCTCTCATATTTACTCAATTTTTTCTAAGATAATCCTTCTAATAATTATAGTTCTAGTTAATACAGTTAATTAGTAAGAATATTTTAGGAAAAACAACATCTATTTAGAATAAATAACTAACTCAACTTACTTTCTTAATTTCCTCAAATTAGTCAACTGACTCTTATAATTAGGACTTGAGGTAATAGATCTGAAAGTAGCCATGCATATTCTCTTATTGTTTGGAGGCTATTAAGCTTATTACCATAGCGGGGGATGTGACAATAACCATCCTCTTGGAGACATGGTTGAAGAAACTAGATTTTTGGTTCCTAGGGATTGGCAAGTTATATGTTTCATCATGTGCATCGAGATGAGAATTACAATGATGATTACTTAGCCAAATTAGCGTACTATAGGCTAAATAATCTGTCTCAGATTTTTGATGTTTCTTGTTACCTGTTGACCGATTTTAATAGTATCCAATTTTTATTAAAGAAAATAATCATTATCTGACTGAACAAATTGAAAACGCACACGACCTATAAGCAAACATAAATGACAAAGACAAACACATAATATGGGGCATTTTTCCCTTGAGCTCATAGGTCACCATTAAATGTGCCATAGAAAAACTGTTATACATTGATAGATCAATGTTTGAATTGTACAGATGGGATTGTGATGGGAAGGCAAAAATGACAAGCATAACTGCACTAATTACTTAGTGGTTGCTTCATCATTATATATCCATTAAGCCATAATATTCCTACAATAATTTCAGAGTGAAAGTCCTTCTTGGTTTGCACTAATAGGGCTCCTCCCCATATTTTCAGTTGTTTGAATAACATCAGAACCTATGAATACCTAACTCCCAATAAAATTAGAGCAAGTCTATACGTGCGTGAGTCTCACATATTATATATGCTGTTTCGTAAGATACTTGCAGGGATAAATGTTTTTTAAAAATGAATTTATTTCCTTAAATAAATATTTCAAAAAAATTTCACAAATTTATCACAATGGATTTTTTTGGAGTGTTTGCTACTCTCTCACATTTTTTTTTTAGAATTTATATTTTCTCAATTAAAATGTACAGTATTGTAAAAACTATATACTGAATATTTTGTACAAACAAAAAACTACTCTTAAAATTATCCAAAGCAACGTCGGCAACGCTGCTTATTTATTAATCTTTAATCCCCATCTTGACTAGAAACAATACAAGAAAATTCACCATTGCATGTATATGCAACCCAGCATGCTTTGGCTTACAATAAACGATGCCGTATTGGTTTGAGAGACTCGTAGGTCACAGGAGCAGCAGGAGGCGATGAAGCCGCTTCAACGTACTTGTAATTGTATTTCTTACATGGAACATAGGTTAGAGACCTTGCATTCGGACATGGCTTCACCCAAGACAAAAACTTCTCACATTCTTCTGGCGATCTCTGATTGAGAAGCCCCTTTATGCAATTCTGGCTCACATCAAGCACCTTCGAATCTATCAGCTTTTTGCATTCTGGTCCAACTTCAGTGAAGTAATTACCCGCCAAGGAAAAATTCCCAGCGTTGCGAATCCCAGGAAGCTCACACACTGATTCTGGAACACCGCCGTAGAATTTGTTGTTGGCTAAATTCAAGAACTGAATCTTCTCTAAGCAAGCAAAAGATTTTGGGATGGGACCCGTCAACAAGTTGTTGCTCACATCGAAGACTACTGCGTTTTTCAGGAACCCAATTTCGAAAGGCAAGCACCCAGAAAACTGGTTTCCCAAGAACAGGACTTCCGTCAAGGTCTTTGAAGCTAGTCCTATGCTTCTTGGGATTGGTCCAGTGAACTTGTTGTTGGCGAATGTGAGGTATCTCGCAGGTGTGGCCCCGAAATTCCATGGAAGGCAGCCGAAGAAGTTGTTGTTGTTGATGAAGATAACGTCTAGATCCAGAAAGAAGAGAAATGGAGGGACCAGTCCAGTGAGGCTATTGAACCTGAGATCTAAGAAAATGAGTTGCTGGGCAAATAGAACTTGCCATGGGAAATAACCTTCGAGCTTGTTGTTGCTTAAATCAAGCTCGAAAAAAAATGGGTATCGAATGATTTCTTTGGGGACTGATCCTGTGAAGTTGTTGGAGTTGACATGGAAGAATGTTAATTCTGGGATTCCCAGGATTAAAGTGAGATCTAAGAATGAACCTTGACGAGCAGATAAACCGGCTTGGTTGAAATCTAATCCTGAAACGGCTAGCTCATCTGATTTTGAATAGTTATCGCATTTAACACCTCTGTACTCACAAGGGCTGACGCCTTCCTTCCAGTTTTTGGTAAAGCCGGTGGGGTCGTCGATTGTGGCGGCGAATTGCAGGAGTACACCGCGTGCGCTCTCCAGCCGGGGAGGCAGCGGCGGAGGCGGCGGAGGCGGAGGAGGCGGCGGAGGCGTCGGAGGCGGCGGAGGAGGCGGACGGGGGCATCTGCACCGAGGAGGGTCGTCATCAGGGAAAGGAGCAAGGGCATCCCCTCCTTTTCCGCCACTGTTGATCTGCAGTGCTTCTCTTTCGGAGCGAGGGAGCTCTGCAGAAAAAACAGAGAGTGAAGAGTGAAGCAAGGAAGAAGAGAACAAGAACGAAAGGACACAGACAGAAATGGTGCCCATTGTTTCAGTGGGAATGATTTCTGGAACGAAGTTTAATGCAATTTATAGTGGCAGGCAAGAAGAAGCCAAGGTTGACGAACCTCATTATCTCTCCGTCAACCCACTTTCTCTCAAATCCATTTTGCAAGTTTTACACGTGTGATTGATTATTAATATCACTTTGCATAATCAAAGTTGAGGTCCAAAACCCTCTCATCATTATTAGCAATTCGCTTCCTCGAGTTTCAGTCAACAATATAGTAAGGGTTTGAGGAGACCAAGGTCACCGGGCCAATAGGAACCTTTCTTCTTTTTCTTAATTAAAAATAAATAAATATTAACGACCTGAAATTATAATTAAAATTAATCTCATCACCTTCTATTTACTCATGTATTACTACCGGGCCAATAGGAGTACTAATATGCATGGTGCTGCCCATAGGAGAAAGTGTCAGTATTTCACCCTAGCTTTTTTAGATATATATGGTTTTGTTTTTCTCTTGCCTTGAAAAATCATTAAAGAAAACGATTATACCAATTTATAGCAACAAAATACTAGCTATAATGTCTCTCAGTTTACTAATTACTAAGTTTTACAAGTTAATAATAAAAAAATCATTTGCAAGCCAAGAAAAAAAAAATAAAACATGAGCAACCTGCCCATCTTATGAGGTTAAAAGATCAAACATTTTGTGCAGAACAAAATGTTTTTTTTAATTAACGTACCAAATGACTTGTTATAAAAAATTATTTGATATTGAAAGTGCAAATTGAATAATTCGATTTAAAAAAAATTCTGAGAGCCCAGGCCATGGATGCCAAAGACAGCATTTTTTTTTTTTCACCAAACAAACTGAATTAAACCAGGAATTCATACTTGGCCATCTGAATTTGAGCTCAACCTTATTGGGGTTTTACTAATCCATCAAAGGTGGATGAGCCGTAGCCCAACAATTATCAATTATAGAACTCCATCTGCAAATGACTCTTCCCTTGGTTCTCTCTCCAAATACATGCCACCATTTTGCTTTGTTTAATTTTCATTTTTTTAAGCCCAAAAAATAAGAAAAGCAGAGGGAGTCTTTTTCGACAGCCTACGATTACGTGACCCCCAAAAAAAATATTTCTATTGAATTTGTTATTCAATGAACAGTAACACTGGCTTAATTTTTCTAATTAAGCAGACTATCATAGATGGAAAGCGAGAGTCATTGATGGTTCTGTTCAGTCAGTGGTCCGATGTGATTATATGAAAATCTTGACTCCATTCTTTTGATGAAACTTCTCGAAACACTTACAAGAACATGAATCACATCGCGCCATTTGCTGCCATTAAATCCCCAAAAGAGAACATTTTTTCCCCAGAACGACAGAGCAAGGGTTTTGCTAGAGAGAGAGAGAGAGATGATGAGTTATTGAGTTGGAGGAAAAAAGGACACATGGCAAGTTTCTATTAGACAACAGTGGGAATAGGATGTAAGCATTCCCCGCAAAGTTTTCTGCTCATGCAATACTAGCTCCTCCTATAACTAATTTATAAATATTAAAAAATTAATCTAATTATTTATAATAAATATATGTTATCTTTTTTAAAATATTCGTTTAAATCATTTTTTCCCCAAAAAGTAGAATTATTATCTAATAGGAAGTCCTTAATTGTACAATCACCAAAGAAATTATTCGGAAGCAAAATGAATAAATATTACAGACATAATATAATAAAATTTTATATTTAAGATCAAAATAAATATCTAATTAGCTCTTACATTAAAGATTAGATTGCATTATATTGTTTTGCAAATAATGTCACATATATACCAACCAAGAAACTTCAATGAAGCCATTTATGCCTTATTTGTGTCGGCTTCGAAACTTAATTCAAAGCAAATAAACAAAAAAAAAAGTCCACTTGTTATTTGACCATCGTACATCCTATCGAATACTTAAGTAGAATATCATGAGTAGAAAGCAAGAGTGACTTTAAATGAGTAAACCGCAAATTATATTATGAATATTATGGAATGTTATTTAATTTGATTGCGTGTTGCACATGTATATTAAATTGCAAATAATATCACATACCAACCAAGGGGGGAAAAAGACAATATATAGTGTCTTGTGCCACATTCCAAGCTTCAAAACATCAATAATAAAAACCAATTATTGCTTCTCTGGACCACAAAAAAAGAAAAAAAAACACTATATATATACATGTAGGTTGTGGTAAGGCATGACGTGCCGCTTAATTTTCTTTTTATAGTGAAGTAGGGAAGGGTATTAAAATTTTATATAGTTTCTCACCCTTCAAATGTATAGACATCATCGTCAATTTCGTACATTTCCGGCTTTCTTTTTAATGGGTTAAAGAAAACAAGAAGAACCTAGGAGTTGGTAAGAACTAGACAGATGAGTCTTTGACCTTGTCAATATCATACATCGCAATATACGATGTAGTCTTTTGAGAAATACTATCATCGTTTGACAGAAATGTATTGAACATCTTAGACTTGAGGAAATCAAATTGGTTACACTGCTGCTTATTCATAGATCACTACCTTAATGATGCACAAAACAAAGAAGAAATTAAAACTTACCACAAAATAAAAATATATTAGCTAAAGAAGGAAGATACATGCAAGCCCAAACACAATACCTACCCAACATGTTTAGGCTCACATTAAACGATGCCGTGTCGGGTTCAGAGACTCGTAAGTCACAGGCGCTGGAGAAGAAGACGTTTCATGATCATACTTGGGATCGTGTTTCTTGCATGGAACAATCTTGAGAGACCATTCGTTCGGACATGGCTTCACGTAAGACAAAAACTTGTAACATTCTTCATGCGATTTCTGATTGGGAAGCCCCTTTATGCAATTCCGGCTCACATCAAGCACCTTCGATTTTATCAGCTTCTTGCATTTAGGTCCAACTTCAGTGAAGTAGTTATCCCTTAAGGTAAGATTCCCATCGTTGCGAATCCCAGAAAGCTCGCACACTGATTCTGGAACAGCGCCGTAGAATTTGTTGTGAGCTAAATTCAAGAAGCGAATCTTCTGTAGGCAAGCGAAAGATTCTGGGATTGGACCCGTCAATGAGTTCTTGCTTACATCAAACACTATGGCCTTTTTCAGGAACCCAATCTCGTAAGGCAAGCACCCTGAAAACTGGTTTCCCAAGAACAGAACTTCGGTCAACGTGTTTGACGCATTTCCTATGCTACTTGGGATGGGTCCAGTGAATCTGTTGTTGGCGAACGTGAGGTATCTCGCAGGCGTGGCTCCGAAATTCCATGGCAGGTGGCTGCTGAGTTGGTTGTTATTGATGAAGATGACGTCTAGATCCATGTTGAAGAGTTCTGGAGGGACTGGTCCTGTGAGGTTGTTGAACCTGAGATCTACGAAAATAAGTTTCTTAGAAGAAAGAACATCCTTTGGGAAACTACCCTGGAGCTTGTTGTTGCTTAAATCGAGCTCGTAGAAAAATGGGTATTTAGTGATTTGTGTGGGGACTGATCCTGTGAAGTTGTTGGAATTGACATGGAAGAATGTCAATTCTGGAATGGAGTCCAGGATTCCGGAGAGACCCAAGTTTGAACCTTGACCAGTAGAGAAACCAGCTTGGTTGAAATCTAATCCTGAAACTGCTTGTTCTTTTGAATTTGGGTAAGTTGCACATTTAACTCCGCTGTACTGACAAGGGTTGGGACCATTCCAGTTGCTGGTAAAGCGATTGGGATCGTCAATTGTGGTGGCGAATTTCAGAAGCACCCGCCGTGCTTTCTCCAGCCGGGACGGTGGCGGCGGTGGTGGTGGAGGCGGGCAGTTGACGGGAGGATGGTGGTCATAATGGGAAGGAGGATTAGGGGCATCTCCGCCGCCTCCGATGATGATCTCCAACGCTTCTCTTTCCGTGGAAGAAGCTGAGAGTACTGATGAGAGAACCAAGGAAGAAGATAATAATAAGAATGAGAGAACAAAGAAAGAGATGGTGTCCATTATTGTGCTAAGAAGTTCGATTTTCTGTAGCGCAGTTCAATGTTGTTTATAAATGGTAGGGAAAAGGAGTCAAGCTTCACGAGCTTGAATCCGGCATGTAAACACTTGACAATTTGGAATTTGGATGCTGAATTATTATATGGTCATGTGGTTTAATTTTTAAATCTGGTAGATGTGCTTGTCGCTTCCCCAAAAACTAAAAATAATCAACTAATTGGATGGACGTTTACTGTTTCATCATATTATTATTAGGTTTAATTTCTCTTGTACTGCATGAGATTTGTTAACTTTTGAAGCAATAATCTTTACATAATAGTAGAATTTGATTGTCTAAGTCGATTTTTAATTTATTTTAAATGATTATTTGTATATAATTATGCATATATTGTGCTAATTGAGTAATTATTTGCATTTCAATTGCTTCATTAATTAATTCCACAACTAATTTTTTTAAGAAATTAATAATGTACTTGGGAATTTCTGTATGTAAGTAGCAGCTAGCTTAATTAATTAAATTAATTGGACAGTTGGTAACATGCTTTCAATGATGGGGATGCCGCATATTAATTTTTAAGTAATATATGCAGATAATTGTCCTTTGGTCTCAAATATTAGTTTTCAATTTATGTTGGGGACATATTCTTGTGTTAGGTATGGTTTTAAAGTTTCCAAAGTCCAACATAATTAAATGATTTTTACAGATAAGTCTAATAAGACATGCTAACTAACCCTTATTTCTGTAATCAAATTATATCATGCCAATTTTAATATCCATCAGCCGATTTTCAAGCTTACTTTAAAATTTACGAGATTACTATCGCGATTTTTTTTTTTTAATAATTTCAAAGAGACTTGAAGCTAGTAATGGTCGCTGAGAGAAATTTTCAACATTTTTCAGAGCTCTTTTGGAGTCAAACGTTAGTCAATCGATGTGCAAGAGTGGGTGGATAATTATGCACAAAAACTAGAAAATTTCAACTTGCATGGTGGAGAAGATTATTTTTCTTACGAGAAAAAAATTAGAAATATTTTAATCCAATTAATTAGACACCTTCTTCATCAGTTCATATGAAACTATAGACGCCTTTTGGAACACGACCGTGTGTTTTCGCACACATTCAACTTCTTCTATGCAGCATGAACAAAAGAAGAAAACCTCAGTCTAATTTGAAATTAAAATTTAATTTAATTGCCCATAAAATAAACGAAATTAAAACATCCCCATTCATTCTTTATTAATTCCCAGATTATCTTGAGAAATAAAATATGCCAATATTGTGCTGATGGCGTTCTCACGAAGATAATCACTTGTTTAGTTATGGGCAATTGTAAAATATTGAAAAATAAGTATGGATATTTTAGTCACCATGTAACAAAATGTTTCCCCTCCCTTCCCCCCTCCCCAAAAAAAAAAAAACCCGTATAATCACTGAAAAGGGTTGATTTTGTTGGCGTTTAATTGAGATGATGTAAAAAGATTATAAAGAAAATGACAGTAGAGAATCAAAATTTGTCGAAAATCATTTAGTGGCATAAGATGTGTTCTTGGCGGTGTTAGGTTTAGGATTCGATCTCCAACTATTAATCAGGCCATATGCCTGCCATCCAAGTCCAAAAAACAAAAATGGGACTATGTTTATTACTACTTTGGTCTTTAATATAAGATTTTATTTGACTTTTATTTTGATTCTAAATATAAAAACCCAATCTATTTTGTTTTTCATATTTATGCATTTTTTTCTGATGTAATCCTTTTAATAATGATAGTCCTGCCAAATACACTTGATTAGCGAAAATATTTTAGAAAAGACAATATCTATTTATTACAAATAACTAACTTAATTTATTTCTTTAATCTCCTTAAATTAGTCAAAATAGCTCTTATATTTAAAACCGGAGATACTATTACCCAACAGTATCACAAATAGAATTGTCTTCAATAAAAAAGTAAAAACTAGACATGCCTTGAGGGGGGAAAAAACGAAGGCCAAAACACAGTTTCATTCCTTTGGGAAAATCACATTCCGTGGAGTTGACGCTTTTCCCAATCGTTCTTTGTTGGAGTGACTTAAATGTTGGCTCTGCTTGCTTGAGGATTTGGATGACGTTACTCTTCTCCTTCCTTTTTACATTGTGGATTCCTTGTGGCATGCTCGGAATCAAACTTGTTTTTCAGGGAAATGATTAAGTGTCTTGCGGGTTATAAAAAGGTGCAGCTGTTAAAGTTTCCTACAAGGGACCTTCTGCTCCTCATAATACTCCTTCAGTTCTAAATATAAAAACCTTATATGTGTATAAGGGTCTTATATTTAGGACCGGAAAAGTATTAGAAACCCAAAGAGATAACATGTTATGTTTCATATTTTGCCATTGCAATCTCTAGTTTTTGTTGGGAATCATACTGGTTTCTCTCTTTTAGCATTTGCAAATTTGGCTCTTTCTCCGTTATTTTGTAGTATCTCACAACTTTGTACTTTTAGTTTTTACAAAAGTTAATGTTTTATGAGATTGACTTGATGCAGCAGTGCGGGTTGTGTCCGTGCTTATCCATTAACTAACACCAGGCCCTTTGAATATAGGTTTTATGCATAGTACTATTTCTCCGTAATTCTCTCCGCTTCCTTCAAACAATCCAAAACCAAACATTTGTGTGCCATATTATTGAAAAGCCATCTTGCGCCTTTGGACCACCGTACCCAAAACGTAATTTTTATTGACCCATTGTGATAAGCCATGACGGGCTTCATTTTCTTTTAAAGAAAAGTAGTACGGTCGCATGACATAATTAAATATATTACTATTCCAGTCCTTAATATAATATTTATTTAACTAATTTATTATATTTAGAAACTTCGGTAAGTTAGTTAATTATAAAAAATATGACATTTTTTTTCTAAATCATCAATCATCCCTCACTTATTGATTATAGTTGAGAGAGTATTTATAGGGGTAATTTAGAAAAATTGATAAATATGAGAAATAGATCTTATATTTAAGGTTAAAATTAATTTAACAATTAGGTCCTATATTAAGAATCGAAGGAGTATTATATAGTGTGCTACTTCTTCATGATTTGCTGGGCAAAGGCACAACTAGAAGAAGCACCAAACAATAATTAAACAAGATTGATTGATTGTTCCAAGTGTCTCAATAAATTATACTAACCTCCAATCTTGAGTATAAAATCCAATTTATATATAAATTGGATTTTATACTCAAGATTGGAGGTAGTATTAACATTCTAAGATGTCTCTTTCGGATAATTACCATATCAAACTTAGTTGCGACAAATTTCAGAGAATTAACAACACTTGAGGAGCCCAAATTTCGTTATTCATAATAAACGCCATCTTAACGAGACCCCAAAGCAGAAAAGTTAACCATAAAAACACAAATCCACCAATACGGTGGGAGGAGAATACACGTAAGCCAGCCTACCAACATGCTTGGGCCTTTGGTTCACATTAAACGATGGCGTGTCGGCTTCAGTGTCTCGTACGTCACAGGCGCGGGAGGCGGCGCCGTTTCATCGTACTTGGAATAAGAGCCTTTCTTACACGGAACAAGCTTGAGAGACCATTCATTCGGGCATGGTTTCACGCAAGATAGAAACTTGTGACATTCTTCTGGTGATTTCTGATTGGGAAGCCCCTTTATGCAATTCTGGCTCACATCAAGCACCTTAGAATCTATCAGCTTCTTGCATTTTGGTCCCACGTAAGTGAAATAGTTACCCGCCAAGGTAAGATTCCCGTTGTTGCAAATTCCAGGAAGCTCGCACACTGATTCCGGAACAGCGCCGTAGAATTTGTTGTTAGCTAAATTCAGGAAGCGAATCTTCTGTAAGCATGCAAAAGATTCTGGGATTGGACCAGTCAATGAGTTCTTGCTCACATCGAAGACTACAGCTTTTTTTCAGGAACCCAATCTCGTAAGGTAGACACCCAGAAAACTGGTTTCCCAGGAAGAGAACTTCCGTCAAAGTCTTCGAAGCATTTCCTATGCTACTTGGGATTGGTCCCGTGAATCTGTTGTTGGCGAATGTGAGGTATCTTGCAGGTGTGTTTCCGAAATTCCACGGAAGTTTGCTGCTGAATTTGTTGTTGTTGATGAAGATGACGTCTAGATCCATGGTGAAGAGCTTCGGAGGGACTGGTCCAGTGAGGTCATTGAACCTGAGATCTAAGAAAAGTATCTGATTATTTGAAAGAGCTTCCATTGGGAAACAACCTTCGAGCTTGTTGTTGCTTAAATCAAGCTCGAAGAAAAATTTGGAATTACTGATTTCTGCGGGGACCTGTCCTGAGAAATTGTTGGAGTTGACATGGAAGAATGTCAACTCTCGAATCGAACCCAAGATTCCTGAAAGACTCAATCTTGAACCTTGACGACCAGAAAAACCAGCTTGGTTGAAATCTAATCCTGCAACGGCTCTCTCCTTATTCCCATATGGGTAATCCGCGCATCTAACACCCTTGTAGTTACAGGGGCTGTCTTCAGCCTTCCAGCTTCGGGTGAAGCAATTGGGGTCGTCAACTGTCTTGGCAAATTTCAGAAGCACACGGCGTGCGCTCACCAGCCGGCGAGACAGCGGCGGAGGCGGCGGAGGCGGCGGAGGCGGCGGAGGCGGCGGAGGTGGCGGAGGCGGCGGAGGGGGACAGTCGGCGGGAGGAGAAGGGGCGCCTCCGCCTCCGATGATGATCTCTAATGCTTCTCTTTCAGAACGAGGGAGTTCTGCAGAAAGAGCTGAGAGTGATGGGTGAAGTAAGGAAGAAGATAATATGAGTGAAACGATACAGTAAGAGATGGCGTCCATTGTGTTAACTCGAATGAATTCTGATGTGAGAATTTAATATAATTTTCCGAAGATAAGGACGGAAAAGTCAATGTTCACGAGCCTCAGTTTCAGAACGAAACACATTACAATGAAGGGAAAGATTTTAGTACTTCTTTCGTGCGGTAAAGGAGTCAATAGTAAGTTAATTATATTCTTGTACAATCTGGGTTATTTTCTTTTTAGTTTTGCTTTTTAGGGAAAAAATAGTTGTATTGAAAACTAACAATTTTTTGTTTTCTAAA